CTGTCATGTGAGAAATGGTTAACTCCAAACTGGTAGAAGTATTGTTCCTTCCGTGCTCTCTGTTACAAGTTTAGTTCCAGCAGTCTGCACACCTACATTTTTACTTTTTATCAGGAAGCTTCACAATAATATGTGAAGTACCTGTGGCCTTGATAAACTTTAAATTATGCTGTAGAAATAAATCCTTTTTTAGTGTCAAGCATGGTAGATGAATCTGAGATTGAAAAACAAAATAAAACAAAACAAATAACAACAACTAAATAAGTATTCATACTTGTATTAACATGAAGGCAGGGGTCACAGTAATGCTTCTGTGAGCCGAGGGATACCACAGCCCACCAGCAAACTACCTGAGCTCACAGAGAGGCGTGAGCAGATCTCTCTCCAGTCCTCAGAGAAACAGCCCTGTCCACACCTTCATCTCTGACTTCCGGCATCCGGACTGGGAGACCATCAGTTTCTGTTGTTGAAGAGCAGACCGTGGTGCTCGGTTACAGCAGCCCTGGGTGACTTGGACAGATGGTCTATCTAACAACATACTGGACCCTGACCAACCCAGAGCAATCCGGCCTTCTAGAGCCCAGAGCCCTCCAAGCCAGCCTCAGAGAGTAAAACCGAAAGCTGTATTTCTCTAGACTCTTAGACAACGGTCTCCTGATGATGATGGACTTTGACTTACTTCTCTTGGACTCCCGTATGGAAAATTCAGGCAACCCTGACATGTGAGTGGATCCCATGAGCTAATGGGTCGGTATGATGGACGAAGGCCTGATGAGGTTGTGACAGCTTGCAGTAAGCTCCAGGACGAGCCTGCCTGTTAGGCACACAGCAGTCATCCTGGGTCACACGCACTGAACAGATCGCAGTAAATACTCTTCCTTCTCAAAAACAAGTGCACCTTTCCTGCAAAAATTCTCTGCAACTCGTAAACTCTACCCCATGGACGCTCCCCTGCCTATTAATAGCTTCCTTGGGAAAAGCCTGGGCTCCTACATCCTGCAGCTATGTCCCAAGCATTAATGAAATCACTGGAAACTCTACTGGCTTCTGCAGAGCACTCCCCATCTGCAAAAATGTGTTCGAGGGGCTGGGGATTTAGCTCAGTGGCACAGCGCCTGCCTGGCAAGCGCAAGGTTGTGAGTTCGACTCCCGGTACCAGAGAAAAAACAAAAACAAAAATGTGTTTGAGGCCCACCAACTCTGTCTCATCAATTTAATTTGAAGTAGCTCATCCTGGAAGAGTTACTCATATTTCCAATAAAACAGCCAACATTTCTGTTTACAGATTAGCCCTTCCTGCAATTTTCATCTGTTAGACAAAGGTATTGCACCCTGGGGCCAAAGTGTGAAGATTTAGGTTGTGAAATGATAAATAAATAAATAAATAAATAAATCCAGAAATAACACCTGGCATTTGTAAGGCATTCAAAGTGTACCGGCCCCTTCTGTAACAAAGGACTGTACGAAGGAGGTACTTTATTTACTTCAAACGTAAGAAAATAAAGACCTGGGAGGTAAGAGCCTTGGAGCTGGACCCACCCCGTGCCAGTACCTCCTGCCCAGGGGTGGGTCACTTGAGAAGCATGTGCGCAAGCAGGGAAGGCTCTGAGGTTCTTCCTCAAAGACTGAGGGGATGACAGGGGCCCAGATCTCCACCTTCTTGGCTGTTACCAATCTCGTGTCTCCTTGGAAGCCACAAAACAACCAGAGAGGCGCCCAAGGCAAGGAACTAAGCCTCAGGACGGACTCTTCTGCTCTGGGCTCTGAGGAAAACTTCTCTTTTTCTTTCTTTAGAGCTGGCTGAGGTTTAAAGGGAAGATAGAGAATCCAGACACAGATTCCCCCTGGGACTTGGTAAAGGGCAGCTCCACACAGCCTGCCTGCATGACTAGCAGCTCTTTCCCCATTCAGGGCCGTCTGTGGGAAGAAAAGATTCTCACCCCGCTCCGTGTTCTTTACCCGAAACTCTCTCAGGGATTGGCAAAGACCTTTGCAAAGCTTGAAGAAAATGCCATCTCTTTAGCAACTACTGTGAAAATGCTGTTTTGATCAATTACTATCAAAATTCTATATGATAAAGATTTATAGTAACACTTCACTAACCCTAATATTACTGAAATTCCTTTACTTATCCAGAGAATGAACTATATATCTTAGGCAAATATTATCACATCTTCAAGGATGTGTTCTCTGAAACAATAGGTAACTGTAGATGTGAATCATGCAGTTGTTTAATAAAAAACAATCATCAATCAGTCTCTATGTTCTTAATAAAAATAATGTTAAACCTACATTCACAGGGGCTGGGGATTTAGCTCAGCGGCAAAAGCGCCTGCCTCGCAAGCGCAAGGTCGTGAGTTCGGTTCCCGGTACCGGAGAAAAACCAAAAAACCAAAAAAAAAAAAAAAAAAAAAAAAAAAAAAAAAAAAAAAAAAAAACCTACATTCACAGAGTTCTCATGTGAACATCATGATGAGAAATTTGAAATTCTGAGTTCTGATCATTTGAGTTATAAATTACTTAATATATTAACTGTCTGGATCTCATTTCTCAAAGTACAGGAAGATAAGTTAGGGAATCACCCATTCACTCAAAAACTAATTTCTTCCTTTCTTCTTTTTTTGGGGGGTGGGAGGTGTGGGGGTGTGCTGGAGAATGATTCCGGGACTTTCTCACTGAGTAAAATATTCAGCCCTCTTTTTAAACTTTTTATTTTGAGAGAGGGTCTTGCTAAGTCACTTTCTTACACATGCTGTCACTATAGTACTTTGTTGTAACACGATGATAATGTCCCTGAAATGCTATAAAATTTTGAAATACCTTTCCAAAGAGAAATAAAATTATTTTCATTTGTATTTTACTATAGGTCCATCGAACATAGTTATTGTATATCCGATGTCATGACATTTCCTTTTATGTTATCAGGCTATATAATCAACTGAAATACAGCATTCACCAACCATGCTACAAAGCAGTTTGCTTGTAGATTGTTCTGCTAATAATATTTGTTATTGATTCTTCTTCTATTTGATATTTTCTAAAATTCATCTTTGACTGAGTCAACCTGAAATGAAACAATCCAATTGGGAAATGTCTATCCTCTGGCAATTTGTCACCTGAAAAACTACAACTTGTCTTCTTATATGCTAATGATCTGTTAGCCCTGCCTACCAAAACTTTCTGGCATTTCCTTGTATGCAGGAATCCTTCTATAGGAGTAAGGTCCAGGTCTCCATTATATTTACAGGTTTCTAAGGGCGCTGTTTTGCTTTTATGTTATGTTGCTACTAAATGAATCTAAGATACTAAATAAATATAAACAGAAATGTAATACCTATTGCTATGGTGTTGATGCTAAGTAATCACTTTGTTTACTCAGAATCTGGGGTAAAAATTTTTTTTTATTTTATATAAGCTCTGGCCAAAGCAAAGTAATTCTGTGATTATGCTATTAATTACAATTTTAGCAAATGAAATAAGGAGTTTAGAGGCTCCTTCAAAAACTTCAGCTGCAGAAGATTTTGAATTGCTTTTCAGTCTGCGGGGTCAGAGAGAGAACGCTCTTAGGAGCAGCACATCTCCCAGGGCCCTGTGGCTCATCCAAAGCCACCACCCACTTCTGCACTGTGGCAGCAATCTCTCTAGCATTCAGATCCTGTGCCACCTCCTGAGGCTATAAAGTGTTACCTGTCTCCAGTGCCAAATAGACGACAAGAGCAAACCGGGGGATTCTAGTTCTAGGCCCTACCTGAAGGCACTGAATACCACTAAGAGAGATGATACCAATATGCTCCCAGCTACATGGGTCTCCCTCCTGGGACAACACCAGCAGGTCAGACCTAGTACAAAGGCGTATTTGTTTTACACCGAGTGCTCGCCCTGACCTAAGCACTGAATATTGTAGTGTTCCACGGCCGCCCTGGTATTCCCTACTTAAGAATTCAGAAACAATAACTAGGAAGGTGAAGTAAGATCCATAGCATCAACCGTAGAGCAAACATTCTGAACCACTCGGCAGTGCTGCTTCCCATGCAAAAGACCTTGGGACCACAGAAATCTGAGGCACTTAGAAACTAACAGTATGTCCTAAAGATTAAGCACGACACTGAGCCCAATCATAGGCAGCTCACTGGTCAACCCTGCCCACGAGGGTAAGGCGGGTTGCAGGAGTCCGCACCCTGCTTACATCTGTGTTAGCAGCTTGTGTTTCTACTGCTATCTTTTACCTCTGAGGCTACGTGTGGGCCCCCACTGACGTCCTCATTTGTTTCTGCTGTGAAAGCACAAAATGGGCACACTCCCTGAGAGCCCCTTTCCCACCATTTGTTCATTCTGTCCCTTTTGTGTGGCCCCTGACTGTAAATGAAATGAGTAGACTCAGAGGATCAGTAATGCCCCTTCCAGCTCTAGCCTTCTAAGAAGGGTGTGTGTAAAAGCCTACACTACAGTCAAATCAAATAGCAACTAAAATGAAAACAAACTTCCATTTGACCGGTAAGAAAAGAAACCTAAAACAATAACTGACATTCAGATGTTCACCCTTAGACTATCTCACCCAGCTCCTCCATCCCCAACAGTCCTGGGATGTGGAAGTTCTGACTCTCCCTGTGTGCAGAACTCAGTGGGCTGCAGTCACATGCCCAAAGGAGGAAGCTGCAGACACAGCCCGTGCCTGCTGACCCCACACCTGCGCTCCTGCTGTGATGCCTGAAGCTCCTCCTCTGAACCGCACTTTGCAGATTGGAATTATGTTTGTGCTTGACTATGACTAATCAAATAGGAAAAACTGCAGTCTCAACAGTAGAAGAAACTGGTGTCACCCGAGTAAGAACTCAGAGTCGTATAAAACTTCTTCTTGCAGTGGGCATCGAGTCCTGAATATATCTCCACTCCACCCCACGGTCTGTATTCTCCTCGTATCTTGGGGGCCTAGCCCTTTCCCAAGCCCTTTCCCAAGCCTAACAGTCACCCCAGATCAGAATGTCTCAACGACCTCCTACCTGGTCTTCACACAGCCACCTGGAGCCGCCACACTGTGAGACTCTGCTATCTGCCTCTATAATTAATAAATGCCAGTGTTTACTTTGGAAACCTGAGGCTGATCGTATTACCCCTCTGTTTGTCATTCCCAGTAGTAACATGGGCTCTAAAGGACCCGCCTCACACCCCACGCCTGGGTCACAGGCTGGTGAACCTGAGGGCATTTGTTTAAACTCTCTCAGTTAGAATACCTTAGAAATGTCTGAAAAATGCCTCAGGGGAGAAGCAGTTCACTCACCTTCCCTATAGCAATCAAGACAAAAGTTGCTTAGTTCAGGCTTTTCCTGCTTTCCTTGCCATCTCTGGCAGATTTTCCACACCGTTAAGCAATCTTCCACATTTAAATAGAAGTTAAAGGTATCTTCCCTTCCTGAAACCTAATTATGCAAGTTAACATTCCAGTCATTATTCCACACAGAAAAAGGCAAGGAGAAAAAATAAGTGTATATTTTACCTGTGATTTCTAAAACGTATGTAGAAACCCCTCAGTTGCAGCGAGAGAGCTGGAGTTTGGAAGATTCGGAGCAGAGCACTGACCTCGCTGCGAGCCTGTGGCTCGGCCGCTGCCAGAAGTGAAGCTGCCCGTGTGTGCTGCGCTCGGGGACCCGTGATGCTTGCATGGTTGCACTATTACCTGTAGCAACAGCAAACACCTCGCTCTGCCACATGCTGGGAAAGAACAGCACAGTCCCAGCATTCAAGATTGCTATTACACACCAGGGAGCAGAGCTTTCTCATTCTGACAGACAAATGTTCAGACTGCTGCACACAAGTTAGATGACACACAAAATAGTGCATTTTGTTCTTTTTCGAATGGATGGCTCTTTCGCAGAACACACTGTGGCATGGATACTCGGAAATCTTTTACACTATTTTAAAGTAGGTATTGTCACTAGGTGTCTTGCAAAGCATGTGACAGTTTAGTTGGACAGCATGAAGTGAAGGTCATATCCCACAACAAGCAAACTGGTTCATGTCAACAGACCTGTGTTCAGGGGCTGCGCCCCTGAAACTGTGGGCTAGCAACCAGGCATGGTGACAAATGCCTAGAGTGCGGCACGTGAAAGGCTGAGGAGGGAGGATCACTGCAAGTTCAGGGCTAACCCGGGCTACTTCCTGAGTTCAAGGTCAGCCTGAACTACACTGTGAAATCCTGATGAAAAAATAAAGCAAAAAAAAAACAGGCTGGCAGAAAACAAAATTGTGACTTCCAAGAGTTCACAAACCACTTATCTTTTGTAGGGAAGCAACTATCAATACAGAAAAAGGCCACATTCCTTCCCTCTACTTTTCGTTTATTCTTTCAACAACTGTGTAAGTACCCTTTCAGGCCAGGCAGAGCTGGTCCCTGAGGCAGCCCGGAGATGTGGGGGGCGTTGGAAGGGGATAATGCATCAGATCACTCACGAACATCACTGCTTTGATTTTGGTCACCAGAACCACGGGATTAAGTCTCATTCTGCGATGAGAACAGCTACCAGGAGATAGATCCTCTCAGCGAATTCTGAAGCACAAAACACCTTTTGTTAACTATAAGCACCATGTGCAGTGGGTCACTGAACTGATTCATCTTCACAACCGAAACTCTCAACGTTGTCTCCCGTTCACCCCATCTCCAACCTTCTGCCCCGGCACCACCATTCTGCGCTCTGCTTCGGCGACTGGACTGCTTTAGATCCCTCACATAACACAACCATCGCTTCTGTTCTTCTGCCCCTGGCTGGTTTCACTTCGCATGATGCGCTCTAAGTTTGTTCATGTTACTGCGGAATAGTATTTCATTAGAAGAGAGAAAGCGAGCGAAAGAGACTTTCCACAGACATTCAGCTAGCAATGGTCTCTTAAACTGCTTCCGCTTTTTGACTATTGTAAATAAAGCTGCAATGAACATAAGGAATAAGGAGTGCTATTATCTTTTCCACACCCAAATTTTAGTTCTTTTATATATATATATATATCCCCAGAAGTGAAATTGCTACGGGTCATATGGTAGTTCTATTCTTAACTGTTGAGGAACCTCTACACTATTTTCCATACCTGTTGTGTCATTTTACATTCTCATCAGTGATGCACAAAGATTCTAACTTTCCCTTATCTTTTCCAACACTGTCATCTTCTGTTTCCTTCAAATAGCCCTCTCATTGTGGCTTTGCAGCTTTCTAATGATTGTGGCTAAACATCTTTCAAGATGCACGCTGGCTATCTATATCTCTTCTTTGGAAAAATGTCAGTTCGAGTCATTTGCCCATTTTTAAATTTAGTAATTCAGTTGTTAGCTATTGAGTTGTGTTTATCTCGTGTTGGTTTGAATGTTTAGAACAAACATAGAATCTGTTTGGTTTTTCCCTCAATGTAGAAAACGTCTTTTCTGTGAAGTAGAATTCACAAAAAACAAAGTGTGACCTTGCTTCACACGTAACCTTGGGAAAATCAATTGCAGAGAGTAAGAAATTATCTGGAAGAATCTGTGCCTTTTAAAACATGATTTCTTGACAAGTTAAGCAGCAGGGGGCAGGATGGTGCAGTGGGAAAATGGACTTTGGCCGGTCAGAAACCTGGGTAGGTCCCATCCTCCTGCAATTATTTTTACTTCCACTGCACCTTGGTCAACCTGTCTGCAAAGCGAGGAGTTGGCTCAGATCCACGCATTGTTCTCCTTTTATTCAACACTATTATTGCAAGCTGGGGTACAGTGCTTGTCTAAACTTGCCGAGGACCTTGGGTTTGCTCACCAACGCTGCAAATAATAATAATAGTAATAGTGTCATTGCATAGCTACTGCATGCCAGACTGGGTTGCGTACTAAATGATATTCATTAACCTGTTTACGTTTACTGAAAGAACCACCAAAGGTAAATGCATTAATTATATTCTAAAAGTTAAACTCAATCTGAGGGATTAAGAATCATGAATGAATAAGCAGGGCATGCAGCATCACCAGTTTCGACATCCCTAAAATAGCCACTTTGATTCTCAAATACGACGAAGTCTGTGGATTTAACAGTCAGTAATAGCTGGTGGATGAGGGAGATCTGGATATTTTAATCCTTTCATAGCTGGACATAGCTTTAATTCTGAAGTATCCTTCCTTTGCTATTATTAGGTACGGGAATAAGGGAAGAGTATAAGGGAGACTAGGGTGGGGATGGACACGACCAAAACGTGTGCATATATAAAAACACCACATTGAAACCTAATATTTTTTAAAATTAATATTGCACCACTAAAAATAAATGTAAATAGAAGCACCCATCCTTTTTTTCCAACCATTACAAAACTTTGGTTTTTCCACCTTATTTTAGTGGCCCAGCTTTGGGCCAGATTTCCCAATTCAGTGTGAGTGTTACTTGACTCTTCTCTTTCCGTTCCTTCCTACATTAAATAAGCTCCCAGCAGAACTGCTGATGCTTGCGCCAGTAAAGGGCCCTCCCCAGCAACCACACCGATGCCAGCCTCAGCTGATGTAGGCACCTTTCCCAGGGAAATTCCAGGTGTCCTCCTGCGCCCACACACACACCCCCTGCCACTCCAGAAAGGACAGCTCACGCCTCTCACTGCCTCCTTCCCTGACTCACCGTGTGGGAAGGGAGGAAAGCCGCCGGGCAAGTGCTTCCTACCAGTTCAGAGTAGCAGGAACCGGGGGCTTCCCACAGGGCCACGCCAGCCCAAGTGGAGAAGTGTCTGCATTCCAAGGCCGGAGCCGTTACCACCCTTCCAAGCCCTTTGAAGTTAGGCAATAGTCCTGCCAACAAACACCAAGCCCGAGAGCTCCTCTACTCACCCTGGGTGAGGCCGCTTCCTGCCCGCCTCTCACCGCCTCTCACATGAGAGAAGTGCCGTCACAGTAACTTTCGCAAGATTTTTACTTTAGACACCAAAAGTCTAAAATTCAATTGAAATCAGCTTTATGTGAGATAACACATCAGCTGGGTCAGGCCTGTTCACTTCTGAAAGATAATTCTACGAATATAGTAACCATTACAATATGCTTAATTTTAAAAACTGTTAAAGAATTCCTTATCTTCTAAGTGAGACTGGATTCACATTCTTGGCTCCTTAAATAATTTCAGACCTTCCCCATTTATTGTCTTTCTCTGAATTTGTTCCAGGTTGTTAATTTCCCTTAAAACATGTCATCTAAGAGGGAACACAATTTTCCTAGTGGAACTTAGTGAGTTTTTTATCACCACAGTCCAAGGTTTTCACATATTGATCTAGGCTGAACTCTTTACTTTTTTTATATGAACTTCCCCAAGCCAAGGTCATCTGCTCTGGGCTAAAGGGGCTGTGTGCTAAGATTGCTTTGGGGTTGTGTCTTGTTTTCTAAGAGAATCAGAGCACATGAGAACTGAGTTGTCTATGGAAATTGTTGGTAGAGGTTGAACATCCCCAGCTCAAAAATTTAAAATCTAAAATGATCCAAAATCAGAAATGTTTGAGGGCCACAAAAGGAAAATTCCACACCTGACCTCATGTCATCAGTCACGGTCAAAACACAAATGCGCTAAAAATCTTGGATAAAGTTATCTTCAGGCTATGTATATAAGGTACACATGAAACAACTTAATTTTGTGTTTAATCTTAGATTCTAAGATATCTTACTGTGTATATGCAAATTTTACAAAATCCAAAAAAGTTAAACCTCCAAACACTTCTGGTCCAGAGCAATTTGGATGAGGAACACTCAATGTGTGCTTCTTTTCAAGTTATGAGTTACAGCCCAATCGTGGGCCTTGAGATCAGCTCTGCGGACTGCCGTGTGGATGGCGTCTTTGTGTTCCCTCTTCCCCCGTTCTCCTAGTGATATTTTGATCTCCACTGTGATGATCAAAGGGGCAGGGCCTTCGAGAGGTGATCAGATCATGAACGAGGCCCTCACAGATGGACTCCGGGCTCTTATAGAGGAGACACCGGAGGACACCCCATCCCCTCTGCTATGTGAGGACATAGTGAGAAAAGGGCCATCTTTGAGCCATGAGCGGTGGTACACACTTGTAATTCCAACAGTC